CCCCCAGAAGCCCATTTTTTGCCGATAAGGGCCGAATTTGGCGCCGGCTGACCCAGGCCACGAACCTGGCACGCTGGGGGCGCCCCGGGGCAACGGGGGGAACTATTTTGACACGAAAGGCTGGTGGACACGCTGATTCAGTGACTGGGCGCGTTCGTCGTCCTCATCGCCTCGGTTTCCCGCGGGAATCAATGCAAAGGCTGTCGCCTGTCAGCCTTCCATTCATTCCTCACGGGCGGCATAGTGAAGGCGCGCCGACGCGCGTTCCGTCCCTTCGCGCCACACGTACACACGGTTGCCGTACACTGCCTCGCGACAACCCCTCTTACCATCTACGCCCTCTTGCCCTCTGCCATCGATGCTTCTCTCCCTTCTCTCCCACCAACGATCATGGCCCAGCGCTACCCTGGCGACGGAGCAGCGGCCAACGGCTTCGGCCGCCGCCACCTGCACGAGGAAGAGGCCGGCCTCCTCTACGAGGCGGACTACCTGGCGCCACCAGACATGTGGGTGCTGGGCTCGTGGAGGCTAAGCGCCGACGGAGTCCCGGTGCCACTGCCGCCCTCTGGAACTGAGCGGCGCGCCGAGATTGCGCGCATCCGATCGTCACTAACGGAGTGCGCACAGAACCAGCCGAGGTACGTCACCGACAGCAACACGCTGTGGACGGCGTACTTTGACCGCGCCACACTGACCAGCTCACCGCCATGAACGGCATAGAACCTCGCGGCCGCCTCAACGCCGACAGGTGGTGCCAATGGTGGGGCATCCCCAGGCGCACGCTTGAAGCCGTCCTCGAGCACATCGAGGTCGGCAACTCGCAGCGGTTGGAATACCCGGCGCCCCCCTTCTTCTCTCGCCGCCATGGTAGTTCTTGGACGCCGAGGCGAATGGAGATGGCGTCCTCGTCATCTTCGGGCTCCCGCTCCTCCCCGTCAAGCCGGAGCCGCGGGAGACGCCGCTCGGGTGGCGCACACGTGGCGGCGCCCTCGCCATCAACGAGGGTGATGTCTCTTCTCCTTCCTCCTCCCGCCTCGTCAAGCCCAGGACCGAGCCGACACTCCTCCCCGTGAAGAAGGAGCACGACGCCATAGCTGCCGACGAGGAGACCAGCCTCAAATGGGTGCGAGATGACTACGTCCGGCAAGAGATGGAGCGCCAGCGTCGCGCCCTCGAGGAGATCGCCGCCAGGCTCCGCAGACGCGAGGGGGCGGCCTTGTCATCCTCAACAACAGCGACGAGGAGGTGCCCGGGCCGTCCAACCCCGTCCGCCACGGCGACCCAAGGCAGGATTGCAGCAAGGACGGCGGCGGCGTGCAGGGCGACGGCGGCGACTACAACCAACTTCTACAGGCTTCTCGGCATGTAGAAGGCTCAAGGCGGCGGCATAGTAGTAGTAGTAATAGTAGTAGTAGTAGTAGTAGTTGTTGTTGTTGTTTTTAGTTTGTTTTTTAAACTATGTTTTCAGTTTGTACAAATATCAATGGAAACGCCTGAATTTCCTTCAAATTTGTGTGGTTTTGTATGAAGTTTGGCCGACTTTGGTTTTCAAAAGGGGGCGTCTGTGGCTAGCTTGGGGCGGCGGTTGGGAACCCGTCCGCCCCCACGCCGATTTTATCACCGGTGGGCCCCCAGGCGGCGCTATTTTGAGCCCTTGGGGTGCCGAACGGCTGGAGATGCTCTAACACGTACGGAGTCTGTATTTCAGTGTTGGAAGGAATTTTCGACTGATATGCACATTATTATCTTTTGTCTTTAGTTTTTGAGTTATTGCTCTTATATCCTTGTATAATTTGTATTGCACGAATTCTTGGTTAAGATTAGTGATTCGATCTCTCTGTACTTTGTAATGACTTGGACTTTTCAGATCACCCTCCGTTATTATCATGGACTCGCCACTGTCCCAGACTGACATCTATTATGGTATTCCAATGGTTGCAGTACTAGTGATTCTGGTACTGTCAGTTGTAATCCTTTGCATCAAAATGAGAAGGCAAGGTAAGAGACCGTGCAGACACACATTTACACTCGACTCACGAATGAAGTTGTTCAAAAACCTGAAAGCTTTCATTGACTGAGGCCTCTACATAAAGCATGCATATTGGTATTATGGCACCTCATGAATGCAAGTGTTAACCGAAAAAGTAACACAAGTATGCTTGATTGCTTTATGAAGGAAGGACAAGTAACAATATCAAGCGGCAGAACGAGGCGAGTATCACGCGATCACACTCTCAGAACAACAAGGGGCACATATCGTTACGGTTCGATAACCGTCGGTTCACGTATAGTGAATTAGTAGCTATCACAAATGGCTTCCAGCAAGTAATTGGCCGAGGAGGGTTCGGAAAAGTCTATCAAGGTTTGATGGAGGATGGCACGCAAGTGGCTGTCAAACTGCGGTCTGAATCTTCAGATCAAGGTGAACAAGAATTCTTGGCAGAGGTGAGTATTGATGTGATCAGCTCAAGGTCAAGTGTACTAATACGATTTAGTTTGTTAATACATGTTTCGTTTTGATTTCAGGCACAAACCTTGGCTAAAATTCATCACAAGAATCTTGTATCCTTGATTGGCTACTGCAAGGACAGGGAATACATGGCTCTTGTCTACGAGTACATGGCTCAAGGAGCTCTAGACGAACATCTTAATGGTAAGAAAATTACTCAGATCATTCAAACTTCAAGCCTGCAGCAACATAACAACACCCTCTATTCCTAAATGTAAGACGTTTTGCCAGTCAATTACGTTTAGGAACAGAGGTAGTAATGTTTTTTTGATTAATACTCCCTCCTTCCGGAAATACTTGTCATCAAACTGGATAAAAGAGGATGTATCTAGATGTATTTTAGTTCTAGATACATCTCTTTTTATAGGGAAAGTGAGAAGCATGCATCGGACAAAATTATTAACACATGTGATTTATCTGATAATATTTTCATAGGGAAAGACAACAACCAAAGTATTTTAACCTGGAGACAGAGACTTCGTATTGCCCTGGAATCTGCGCAAGGTAGGTTTTAATCAAGTTTTTCTACATGTCATTACACGTAGAAGGCATGAATTCGTTCGTAATTTTGTCAGCAATGTCTCATGTGGATTCATGCAGGGCTTGAGTATCTACACAAGGGATGCAACCCGCCCCTCATTCACAGGGATGTGAAAACGTCCAACATCCTGTTAAATGCAAACCTGGAGGCTAAAATTGCTGATTTTGGCCTGCTCAAGGCTTTCAATAGCAACAGTGATACACATGTCTCCAGTGCAAGGGTGGTTGGTACACTTGGTTACCTTGACCCTGAGTAAGTGCACAGTTCTCTATTATTTCTGATTATGCTCCAAAAAACTTCTCACCAATTATAAACAATTGATGTACTGTACTTTGGTTGTCTAAATGTTAGTAGAGTTCACACCTACATGCTCCTAGGGTGGTCAAAACTCAAAATATAGTCCCTTAATTCGAAATTTTCACCTCAACTTAGTCATTTAAGTACTCCTTCCATTCCTTTTAGTTCACGTTTTAGATTTGTCTTGGGTTAAATTTTATAAATTTTGATCAAATTTATATTAAAAAATATCAACACCTACACTACCAAATAAATGTAATATAAAAATATATCCTACAATGCATCTAATGGTATTGATTTAGTATTAAAAACTATGATATTTTTTCTACAAACTTGATCAAACTTTATCAAGTTTGACTTCAGTCATAACTAATATGCAGAGTAAAATGGACTATAGGGAGTACAACTACAGTTCAAAAATCTTGATTTCTGCAAAGAATCAAATTGGTTTCTGTGAATTTTCTACCAATTCTTGTGAAACTTGCTTGTACAAAATTTTTTTTGAAGAATTTGACCTCCATGGTTGTTCTTTATACTATACCCACTGATGTATTTTGTACTTCTCTAGGTACCAAGCTACGTTTCAGTTGACCAACAAGAGTGACGTATTTAGCTTTGGCGTAGTGCTACTGGAGATAATCACAGGGCAACGACACATCTTGAAGGATCCCGAACCAACGAGTATTGTTCAGTGGGTGCGGCAGCGCCTCGCATGTGGAAGCATCGAGGGTGTGGTGGACACGCGCATGCATGGCGATCACAACGTCAATAGTGTGTGGAAAATTGCAGACACCGCGCTCAAGTGCACTGCTCACAACCCTATGCAGCGGCCCACGATGACTGACGTGGTAGCAGTGCTGCAAGACTGCCTTGAGATCGAGGTTGCACACAACGATGTGAACGCAGGGATTTACTTGGCTGGGAGCGGGGGCGACATGAACGGCTATGGTCGGTACGACATTGACACGTCTAGTGGTGTGAGCTAGAGGAGGACTGAATTTGAGCAAGAGCATCTGGGCAAGGTGCCAAAGGTGTCTACTGCTCCAGCTATTATGTAAGTGGATTTAGGGGCGTGTTTGGTTGCCGTGTGCTACAGTACCCGCATCACATACACTTCTTCACCCAATGTAGCTTTGCAAATGCAGCCTCAAATGCACCATATGCATGTTGTTTGGTTGCCTGCATGCCCTCTTACCTGATGGGCTGAATCACACTGCCTGGTGTTTGGTTGCCTGCATGTTAGTCCACGAACCCAAGGCATGGTGTTTGGTTGTATGCAAGGCCTGATGTGTGGTAACCTCTTTGGCTAGTTGTTGAGGTTACCACCACACTTCGGCAGCACACATCATAAGCACAACAGAGTATAAACGGAGTATCAACTAGATAATTCAGATATAAGCAGTACGACAGTTCATAACAGTTCTACGCATAAACCATAGCAGACTCCATAGTACTTAGGGAGGCCCCGGCCCTACTCCTTGGCGGCAAAGGCTTCGTCGTGCTTCCCGCACTTGTTGACGACCTCAATGCCATTGTCGTCGAAGATGATGACCTTGAGGGTGTCGGGAGTGAGTAGCTTGAACGTCACCATGTAGCCAATCTTGATCTGATGAACGGCTGCGTAGGTGGCCCAACCCTGATCCAGGGTCGCCATGCCGTTTATCAGCTTGACCGTCACCTTCCAGGAGCAGCCGGTGTTGTTCCTAAGCTTGAACTCCGTCGGCACCGCGACGAAGTGCTTGGTGAAGTCCAGGGGCATGGGGATGCACTCAAGCTTCGGTGTAAGGATGACTTTGCAGAAGTGAGTTGGGCCATCCTCCTGATGATAGTGGCCGTAGTTGCGGCGCTTGTTGCTGGGGGCTCCTCCATGCCCTCGTCGTCGCCACCCTCGAGCGTCTTCGGGTCTTCCTCGGCGGTGGGCGGCAGCTCAACCTCATCAGGCATTGGGTGAAGGGGCTGCTTGCCCTTGTTGTCAACGGCCGGGAGCACCTCCGTGCCCATCTTATTGCTATCCTCGATCTGCACACAAGTCATGGAGTCAGGCATTGCACAGAGTTCATGGCTAATTCAAGAGCTTGCAGTTAAAACGGTATGACTGTAACTCTTCTCCTCATCTCCACCCCCATATATTTACTCACCCTACCCACCACTATTTACCCACCCCCTCTCTTCTCTCACTGTCAACCTTCCTCCTCCCCATCGCCATGAGCTCTAGCTCCAGCTCCAACGGCAACCCCTTCCCTTGGGGTATTGGCTGGAGGGCCTTCTTCCTCGGGTGGATGGCCGGTGACCGGACCAAGTTCAAGAACACCATGGAGGTGTGCTCGAACTTTGGCTCCATGCCAGCCATGCAGAACGAATCCAATGCCGTGCTCATGAAGGCCACTTAAGATGAGCTGAAGACGCTGATTCCTGACCCAGCGAAGGGCGCGATGGCAGTTGACATCTTTCGCTGGGCCATGAATCAGGCCGTCTCCGACGACCCTAAACAGAGGAAGAAGTGGCGCAAGTACAAGACCTACTTTGCTCCTAATGACCGCCGTGCCGCAGTGTACTGGGAGATGGGTATCACGCCGCCGGCGGGCATCGGCGGGGAGCCTAAGGAGGAGGAAGAAGAGGCGGTGCACATGCCAGCTAGGGCGCCGGAGCCAGTCCGTCCTACCTGGCAGATCGACCTCGACTCCACCGAGGACGACGAGGACGACCCGCCGGCCCGCACGGCGATGAAGAAGAAGATGAAGGCCAGCGGCTCGACCAGCCGCTCCGCACGCCGGTGACGGCCGCCACGGTTAGCCGGTGTCTGTTCTGTACCCCCTTTCCCCCTATTCCCCTATCCCCCAATCCCTAAATCTACCGATCTTGCATGTATGAACTGCTAGGTATGAACTCGTATGAACTGCTATGAACTAGTATGATTTACCCCTATGCTTAGCTACCTCTATTCACCATTCCTGTCCGCCGTGGATCGAATCTATCGCCGTGGATCGAATCTAGCGTTCATGTCGAAGAGAGAGAAGTGCTTACCGCCATTGGGGAGTCCGGTGGTCTTCTTCCTCTGCTCCGATCCGCCGCCGCCGGTGAGAGTTGGGAGAGTGGGGAAGAGTGGGGAGAGGGAGCGGTGAGGGGCGGTGAGGCTAAGCAACGCGGCTTCTCGAGCGTGGCTGCGCGCGTGCAGCCGCGCCCGCCCACGTGCACCGCTCGGGCCTGGCCCTGGAGAAACTGTCGATTCGTGCGTTTCCAGTGAGCCAGGCCCTGAGGTGCTTTAAGAAGCGTGCGATGCAGGCCCAATAGTGTATGCGGGCTACCAAACAGGCTGAATCCTTCCCGCGCGGGCCTGATTGGACCTCACACAGGCAACCAAACACGCCCTAGACAACGAAGCCTATACCTTTCGTGTGCGAGTAGTTTTTGTGTTGTTGAATTGAACAGTCTATACGGTTTAATGAACAGAGTGTGCATGAATATGTGATGAACAAACTATGTCGAGTTGAACGTTTTGCTGGGTTAGTAAGTGGAACCAGTAAGAATTGATGGATGAACGGCTATTACTAAGCTCTCTAGGGGTGGAAGCCTGAGAGTCAATTGAGCCAATTGATTTCACTGCGTACTTGATTTTGACCGGGTCTTCCCGTCGTGAGCTGGGCTAATGCTGAGACTTGGGCCGGCACGACGTCTCGCCAGTGTGCGTCCATGGCAACTTTTGATAAAGGGAAGCGCAGACGGGCCAGCCCACTTCTGCATGCGTGGAGCGAATACGAAAAATATAAGCGACAAAGTGGGAATCAAACTCTCGCTCTCACGGTGAATATTAGCTACCCAAGCCTTCCCCTCAAAAAAAAGGCTACCCAAGCCAGACGACACAGAGGATGAAGACAGCATTTACTATAAAGTACTCCATTTGTTCACATTGTTCACATTTTGGAATAAATTTTGTTCACATTTTGGAGTACTATCTTAAGAGGCAGATCTTTCGTTTTTAAAAAGAATCAACATTTGTTAGAAAAATGTGAACAAACTTTTTTCCAAAATGCGAATAATGTTTCAAAATCCTCAACAAATCTAGATATTCAAATATATTTTTTAAACATGAACAAAATTTTGAAAAAAGAACAAAATTGTAAAATTTGCACAATGTTTTCAAAAGTGTGAACACTTTAAGGAATTATGAACAAAATTCAAATTCTGAAAAAAAATTGAACAGTGAACAATTTTTCAAAAAAGTAAATTTAAAATATACACTGAACATTTTCTTAGTATACGGTGAAAATTATTCAAATACACACTGAACATTTTTTAAAGTATACAGTAAAATGTTTTTCAAATGCATGCTGAATAAACTTTCTATACATGACGAATATTTTTTATACACACAGGACATTTTTTAATGCACAATGAACATTTTTCTTCAACACAGTAAACTTTTATTGAAACGTGAAATTGTTTTGGAAAATATGACAAAAAATTGTAATTTTTTGAATTTTTATTTTTCAAACTTGTTTGAAACTTGAACAAAATTACGAAATATAGAACAGTTTCGGAAATCATGAAAAAAATTAGGAATATGATTTATTTTTGGAATTTTTGAAATTATGAACTTTTTAGAAAATTTCAAACTTATGAAAAAACAGAAAGAAAAACAGAAAAAATGAAAGGGAAAGAAAATGAAGAAATAAACAGAAAATGAAAATGAAAAGAAAGAAATAAGCAGAAAAAATAAAAAGGAAATAAAAAAGAGAACAAAAAAACTATAAAAATAAATTGAAGTGGGCCGGCCCATGTGCGGCGATCGGTCGCTTCGCTTCAGTGAAGCAACGACGGTCGGATGCACACGACGGCATATAGGATCTGCCCGAAATCACTAATTAAGGAGTACTCCTTGCGGTGATCACTTCAACTTCCCTAGGTTGCGACAAATGGCGCGCTGCATGTGCGTCACTTGTCGTAACCTTGGAGTTTTCCTTTTTTTCGTAGATCCGTTTATTCAAAACGTTTTATCTCTTAAACCGTGCGTCCAAATCTCGAACCGCTTTCGCCGTTGGATTCCTCGCGTCGAGATCTTCAAAACTAGATCCCATGTTGATAGGTTTTGACGAACTTTTTTTCACGAAAAAACAGGACGAGAAAACTGACGAAAAAACCGAACCGGAACACAGGTTTTTTCCCTTTCTGAAAGAGGCACGCCCGTGCCTCTGACGAAATCACAACCATGCCTCTCGTGGAAGCAAAACCGTGCCTCTCGCGAAAGAAAAAAAACAAAAAACACAATTTTTTCCCTTTCCGAAAGAGCCACGCCCGTCCCTCTCGCGAAAGCACAACCGTGTCTCTCGGGAAGCAAAACCGTGCCTCTCGCGAAAGAAAAAAAAACAGAAAACGTGTTTTTTTTTGTTTCCGAGGAGGCACGGCCGTGGCTCTCGTGAAAGTACAACCGTGCCTCTCGCGGAAGCAAAACCGTGCCTCTTGCGAAAGGAAAAAAAGAGAAAACACATTTTTTCCGTTTCCAAGAGGCACGGCCGTGCCTCTCGCGAAAACAAAACCGTGACTCTCGCGAAAAAATGCGGTTTTTTGCGCAAATTTTTTTTTTTAATTTTTTTGTCAAAAAGCTATGGAAGACCGGTGAAAAACAAAAACGTAAAAAAACATTTAAAAAGACGAAAACGCGTGCGGAAAAATAATAAAACAAAATCTGAAGGGAGCGCCCAGAGCGCGACACGTGGTGAATGGCTGAGAGCGCGCCAAGTGGCGCTGATCGTTGCGAGCCTCCCGAAGGAGCGCTCGTTAATTAGTTGCTCCCGGATCTGCCACGTGGCATGCCGGACAGCTGTCTGGGCATGATGTGGAGGACACACTATTTGCTGAAATTTTGTCTATTTTAGGTCAAGCCCAATAGCAGTTTCAGAAATTCCTAATAAATTCTAGAGGTCCATGCAGTCCATTCGTGCAAGGCAAGAGGTGGAACTAAACTTTAGTCCCATATTGCTAGTTTAGA